AACCCTGAAAATGACCATTTGTGTATCGATGACTCACGGCATGTTCGATTCTTCAAAATTCTTGCATGGCGCCACGGTGAAGGGAGATTCTGAAAAATGGGCGAAATTGTAGTAAATCCTTGATGGATCAAAGTAAATAGAGGCTATGTTTAATGACAGCAAAAGTACTCTATATCAAAAATACTTTTGTGACGTTTTGCAGATTCTTCATTCTCCATGGAGGCACGCACGAAAATTTTTTGCTTGTGCATTTACTGTGTACCGGTTGTTAGACGGCTTGTTCTGAGCTGGTCTGGCAACAGTTTAGGAGCAACATACACGTATAAGTGTGACTGTATTTTATTTTCCGGGTTGTAGAAGCTCAGATCATTGTTTACACACCTATGCTTGTAGAAAATATTCCATTTAGACTCGGTGCTATTCAAATGGATAGCTTCTCTTTTTTGTTAACATAGTCCACATCTTTTCACAGCAAGCGCACCCAAAGCAGGCCCTTCATGTGGGCTGTGTGTTTGCTTTCATAGCCAGCTGTGCTGTGAAGGCTGTGCCTCCGCAGACCTCCTCGGAGGTAGTGGCTGGTTGGTAGGCTTTGAGCCGGCGGTCTATTTTTACTCTTTTTATGACTCAAACTGCTGAATGAGAGGATACATGCACACTAATATGTTCTGTCCATATTTCTCAGCCTCGCAGCCTGAAGTGAAGTTAACCATCGACATGTATTGATATCAGTAGCAGCTGTTAAAGTTAAGCTACTGATTGTAGTATTTACACATTTTGGACTGGTCCAGTGCGGCATACTTTTAGCTGCACCATGACGCGATGAGACGTGATCACAGGCGTTGACTCTAACCACTCTCACCTGGGAGCAGAGAGCCGAACCGTAACAGTCTGTGGCTTGTTCCAACGTAAGAATAGGGTGACGAGTTCAGGTTTGTTTGGCTGAACATACAAGTGTTCACATGTAGAGTGGTGCTTTTTGGGTAATTGGTTGTGACTGATTTTACAACATGCGCAGTGACTAACGGTGTAGTGCATCAAATCCTGAGTGTCTTTTTTTTACGAGCATCCTTTTGCCAATGCTCGGAGATGGCTGACACACACACACACACACACACACACACACACACACACACACACACA